CCGTTATTCCTATGAGACCATAATTGCCCTCATGTACTATGAGCTCAAGTTGGTGTTGTTTGCTTCCCATATTCTGAGCATTGGCGTAGAGACATCGGAGTTCGTTCTCGTTGTGCTCTGCTTTTCTTCCCACGTTTTTGGGAGACTGGTGCTGGGTCCTGCTTGAGGTCTTTTCTCTGTTGAAATGTGTAAGTTTTGCCAGGTGATGGTATGCCGTGCTGCACATCTCCCTCCCCTGTTGGTTTTAGTTCAAAACTCTCCCGATGAAGTTCGTTGTGCAGTGGCCAAACGCCTGCTTCCCGTTCTTTGTGCGGGCAGCCCCTCATTTGCCAGGAGTCCTTATTCATCTCTTCCTGGCCCCACCTGCGTGCTTGCACAAAGGAGGCTCCTTCTGGCTTGATAAGGTGGCTCAAAGGATGACCCCCCCCCCTTCACTTCCTCAAGCCAACCCGCATTGGCCCTGCTGATACACCTCTGCCCCCACGCAGGGTGCAGCCGACGAGCTTAGGCTCTGCTCCCCTTCTCCTGCTTGGTGCCCTGGAGGAGGGGAGACCCCCACCGTCCTCCCGGCTGCCTGCCCCTCATTGTTCCCTGCCAGCTCGCCTCTCATTGTGCCCGTGCCTCCCCAGTGTGCTTTGCTGGCCGCCTGCCGCCGGCTGTGCTGCTGCAGACGTGCAGTCCCTGCACGCCAGCCGCTTCCCCTGTGTTCTTGTTCCAACTGTTCAGGGAGGGTCCACTGACCCCATCCGATCCAGCTGGCGGGAGCCTGCCTTGCAGGGGCTGCTGTGTAGGTGACTTTAGGAATGGCAGCTCGCTTACCTGTATTTTGTTGCCACAATAAAATGTCTCCTTGTAAGCAAACCTGGAAGCAGGCACACTCATTTCCTTGGGACCACAAGAACCTCTCGCCCCGAGCCAGGGCAACACAACAACCGCTCGTGTGCCTGGTGGAGGCAGAAAGCGGCACTGCGCTGTGGCCAAGAGTGGGGGGAGCAGATCCGAGCAGAGCCGGAAGGCCAGGCAGGGAGGGGCGGGGGTCCTTCGGCCAGGGCTGAGCTGAGGGGTGCGGCGGCCAGGCGAGGCGAGGCACGCGTGGGCCGAGGAGCTGGCAGCTGGCACCGAGCGAGGGCAGCAGGGGCACGGCATGTGCCCGGCGGCAGGGAGAGGCGGAGGGAGCGGCCTGCCGGAGGCCGAGTGCCCAGCATCCCTCTGAGGCTGCCTCGCGATGTGGGTTTCAGCATGAGGAGCAGGAGGGCTTTCTGCTGGGCGGGCGGCATCACTCCTCGTGCACACGCTTTGGCCCAGCATTGCTCCAGCCCTGGGGGTCTCTCTGTCTTTGGCAGCCATGGGGACAAGGACGTCTTCTCCTGCCGAGGCATCCTGCTAGCCGTGAACTGGTTTCTGGACCGAGGCCACACCGACGTCACCGTCTTTGTGCCTTCCTGGAGGAAAGAGCAGCCGAGACCCGACGTTCCCATCACAGGTGAGGAACGAGCTGGCGCAGGTGTGGCGGGGGTTGCCGAACCCCTTGTTCAGACCGAGTGTGGTGCAGCTGGCAAAGGCTCTGGCATGTGGCCGCCCCCTGTGTCCCATGGGCTGCCCCACAGGTCCTTGCAGTGCTGCTGCTGCCACAGATGTTGGCCTGCGTTGCCACCAACATCTGAGCAGCTGACACAGAAGCCCAAAGGAGAACTGTGCAGGGTCCAGAACTTTCCTTCCTTCCAGAGACCTGGGACTCCTCTGGGAGTGCCGTCGGCTCCTGCTGTCAGGGCAAGAGTGGGCAGCTGGAGAAGTTTGGCTCTGCGTAACGCTAGGCTGCATTTTAAGCGGTGTAACTGACCTGGTGTGTTTTTGAGTGTTGTCTGGCTCAAGACATGAGAATGGGAGGATTAGAAATGCGGGTGTCGAAAGGGTGATCTGCCTCCTCAGAGGACGGGGTGGGGGGGGCGAGCGGAAGGGCTGCCGCAGGGGAACCGTGGTGGCAGGGCCCTCGGCGAGGCTGGGCTCGGCTGCTTCTTCACGAGGGTCGGGCCCAGGGCAGGTGGGTGGAGAGTGACCTTGGTGCGCATCGTTGCAGACCAGCACATCCTCCGTGAGCTGGAGAAGAAGAAGATCCTGGTCTTCACCCCCTCCCGGAGGGTGGGGGGCAAGCGGCTGGTCTGCTACGACGACCGCTTCATTGTGAAGCTGGCCTACGAGTCGGACGGCATTGTGGTTTCTAATGACGTCTACCGCGACTTGCAGACGGAAAAGCCGGAGTGGAAGAAGTTCGTCGAGGAGCGCCTGCTGATGTACTCGTTTGTGAATGACAAGTATGTCCCTGGGAGCCCCGGGAAGTGGGAAGAAGGCTTGCCCGGCCCCAGGAGAAGCTTCCCGAGGAACAGAGCAGGGGAGAAGAGGGCGACGAGTCCCGGTTTCCCTTCTGCGGTCACAGGCAAAGGGGCAGAAATAGGGGCCGACTCTCGGTGAGCTCTCAGGCTGGATTCTGTCCGCATCAGTCAGAAGGCCACTGGAGGTCAGCTGGCACTTCTTCCCAGGGCTAACGAGAGCAGATGAATGGCGTGTCTCTCTGCAAACAGCCCACCTGAGAGCAGAATGCCTGCCTGGGAGGAGCCGTCGATGGATTTTGGCAGAGTGGCCAAGCCCAGGTGGCAACCCAGTGAAGCCCCCCACCCACCCAGTTTTGTGCCAGCTGTCCCATCTTGGCCATGGGAGGCCATAGCACGGGGGGCGGGTGCTTCTTAGCAACAGTTCCCAGGTAGTGAAAGCGCTTTCCTGAAAGCGCAGTCATCGCTCGATCGTACTGAGGAGCTGCCCTTTTGTTGCAGCTGCCGCCACTGTGTTCGTGTTTTTAATACGTTATTTGTTACTATGATCTCAACTGATCAAGTGGTTCAGATGTTTTTGAATGAAGGAGTTGGCTTTGCCCGTGGCAGAGGACCAGAAGCCAAGCACTGGCCTGCTCAGGCGCAGCCATTCCTCAGGCGACTTCGCCTGAAAACAACCTCCTCTGTGCGGAGGGCGAAGGCACTGCAGAGGAGCCAGTGGGCCGAGCTGCGTGTCGCAGGGCCCTGCCGTGCGCTGGTCTGCCCCACAGTGAGCCAGACGCCTTCTGGGACCCTTTGGCGCTGGGCCTCTGCAGGGCGCCCACGGAGGCTGCGGGTGGGGAGGCCTGCAGAGTGCTGGAACCTGTCGGTTCAGCTCAGGGCCTGGCCACTCTTACCGGGCCGCTGCTGCCTCTCCACAGGTTCATGCCTCCGGACGATCCGCTCGGGCGCCACGGACCCAGTCTAGACAACTTCCTGAGAAAGAAGCCAGTGGTCCCTGAGCACAAGAAGCAGCAGTGCCCGTACGGTAAGGCCAGGCCTCCTCTGGGCGGGCGCCGTGGCAGCCACTGTGCCCCGTGCCTGGCAGGCACTGCGGCCACGCTGTGAGCAGTGCCTAGGCCGCCCGTGCCACAGTTGCCCTTCTTCCTGCAGGCAAGAAATGCACCTACGGGATCAAATGCAAATACTACCACCCTGAGCGGCTCCACCAGCTGCAGCGCTCGGTCGCGGACGAGCTCCGCGCCAACGCAAAGCTCTCCCCCACCCGGAGCACTGCGGCTGCCAAGGAGGAGCGAAGGAGCCGGCGTCCCCCCCCAGCCGAGTTCCCAGGTTCTGCCACCACTGAGGGGGAGAAGATGCCCTCACAGAAGGCCGTGGTTGAGAAGAAGAGCTCGCTTCAGAAAGCCATGCACTGTGACATGCTGCCCCCCCACAAAGGAGGTGTCCACCTGAGCAGTGCCCTAGCCAAGAAGAATGGCGGCAGTGACAGCTACAGGCCTCCCGAGCGGGGCCAGCCGCCTCCCGTGGCCCCCCGCACCGATTCCCTCCCCTACACATCTCAGGAGTGCCTCGACTCCGGCATCGGCTCCCTGGAGAGCCAGCTGTCTGAGATGTGGCCCAGCCACGGCACGCCCTCCCACCAGGAGCTGCTGGCATGGAGCAGCCCCAGCAGGGGGCAGAGGCAGGTTCCCCAGCAGCCCCCTGGCCTCAAATCGGGTGGCTACAGCCAGCACCAGCCCCTCCCGGCCTCCGACCCCCAGCAGCTGTACAGCCCGGACCCGTCCTCGGTCAGGCTGGCGGCGTGCTCCTTCCCGGGGTTTGGCCCGCCTGCTGACACACCTGCGGGCACTGGCCAGAAATTCTGGTCCGAGCCCTATCGGCCGCTGGCCACCGCAGGCAGGGATCTGCCCGGAGCACATCAGCTGGCCTACGATGATGCCTCTCGCCCATGGGCTGCGCCCGACCGCTTTGCTGAGGAGCGGGCCAACGTGCATATCAGACTGTGCGGGATCTTCCACCCCCGCCTGGTGGGCGCCGTCATGAGCCGCTTCCCGCAAGTCCTGGACCCACAACAGCTTGCTGCTGAAATCCTCACCTACAAGAGCCAAAATCCAGGGATCTGAGCCCGCAGCAGTAGCTCTAGAGGAGGAACGCGGTGTGGCTCCCCCTGGGGAGCACTCCTCTGACTCCGGTTGCACCCGTGTCCGTAGGAGGCACGCAGTGGCTCGTACCGGGTGTGCAGCCGCCTTCCCCCGGGACACGCGGAGGGCCATGGCAGGGCCGGCATGCCATGGGTCAGGGTGCAGGGGGAAGGAGGCCTGTAGCTGACCACTGCCCTCAGCCCAGATGAACAGAGCCGGTGGCGGGGGGATGAGTGGCAGCCCAAACATCTGGAGGGCCACCAGTTCAGATGCAGGGTGCCTGTGGAGCAAGCAGGAGGTGCGGGAACAGGCCTGCCCAGTAGCCAGGAGGTCCCGGGACAGACGGGGAGGCCGACTGGTGATGCAGAGGGTGTGGGCAAGCACCACGCTTGATGCTCACCTCTTGGGTGGACTGGTCTCCAGGTCCTTGGTTCAGGTCACACAGCGCTTGGGGCATGCGCCTAGGGTTGCGCGAGACGAAATATTGAGCATCAAATTCAGCTTTTACTTAAAACCCCAAAACAAAAAAGTGTAGTCTCATGACTTGAATGTTTCACAAGCTGGATAAGCCAAGTGAGGGTTCCACATGCCTGCCTGGTCCTTTGGCCGGCCTCTGGGGCCGTGAGCGCTCCATGTGCCTTCCTGGCTTGCACCTGCAGGCTAATTCGTGTTCACCGGTTCAAACTGTGCAATAGTTGTGGCATCTTGGTTGCTGCTGGAGTGGGTGCTCCTTCCTCCTCCTCCTCCTCCTCCTCGCAATGGGGGGTTCTGCCTGCCAGGCTTGCAGCTTGCAAGAGCTTCCCTGAACAGCCGTCTTTCCAGCTGAGTCGGTCCTCTTGGAGGCAGCAAAGCATAATACGTTAATGCGATGCCTCTCTTATAGCGTTGTAGTTCTAAGGTCTCTCGCTATTTTAAACATCATGTAGCTCAGAGGGGAAGGCAGCAAGCTAGGATGCCCAGACAACAGGCTGGAGTTCACAGAAAGCCGCCTTGCCTGGACCAGCGCTGCTGCTATCTGGGAACATTTTACCTCTGTGTGTCTGGCAACCCACCTGCGCTCTCCCAGATGACCTCATGACATTCGGCTTACCTTTGGACTGTCTCCGGGGCTGTAGAAAGGTGTGTCTCTAATCAGGGAAGCGATGCTATCCGGTTCGCCCTCTTCTGAAGCGGCTCAGTGTTCATGATGGGTCTGTCCAATATTAATGGATATTGATACTTTCGGTAATGAATCTATAGCAATTGCTTCTGGTCCCTGCTCTTTTGACAAAGGAAGTGTTTGATTCACTTGCAGGCCAGGAGCAGTTGATCTGTTGATGCATATTGTATCCCTCTTATGTGTTCTGTATTAATTAAAGCGGTCCGACTTGTGGTTTGAGCTGTGGATTCTCGGGTGGCAGGTGGGCAAGGAAAGGGCGTCACACACGCTCTGCCTCCGGGGAGTGCTCCGTGCAGTGGCAGTGGGGGCTGCCCAGCCCGCCCTTGCCTTGCCTGGCCTGCATGCCACGAGGATGGATCAGCCGTGCCAGCACCGTGTGCTGCAGGGCCACACGGACACAGAAAACCCTGTAAGCCTGGTTAATTATGATGCATCACAGAAATGTGATGTTTCATGTTAGTAAGCAAGATGCTTCTTAACAATTCTTTGTAATCTTATATAACTTGCACATTTTATAATTTTCAGTTTTTAATGGAAAGTTATTAACAGAATCTCCCTCGGTGATGCTGGTTTCCCTCTATCCTACCCGTCAGGGTTGCTGTCCTATAACTGGAGGATAATTCAAATAAAAGAATGTACCTGAAGCAGGTCTGGAACCTACCTCATCACTCTCTCTCACTCGTTTTGCAGAAGTAAACAAACAACTCTCTTCCTGAAGCAGCTGGGACACCACTGCGCAGTTGCTGCCCCAGGCCTGCCTGCCGGCCCTCCTCGCCCCTCTTGACCCTTTCATCACAGAGCGGTGGAGCTGTGGCAGTGTGTGGGGCTGCTGCGCCCTCTCACCCCGAACCGGGCCCCGGCTTTTGGATCTGGGGTGGGAGCCAGTCACATGGCCTTCAGCCAGCTCAGTGGCTCTGGCTTTTGGAGCCCTCCACCCTTCCCATGCTTGTGAGGGGGCAGGGGGCTGCCCAGAGTCTGCCTTGCAGGCTTTTGAGAGAGAGCTTTCTATGGGAGACACGCACTGACATAAATGCAAGATATACATGTAAAAGCCATTTCTGAGTTTGCTTTGTACTGAGTGAGGCTGTACAAAAATAGACAAAAAATCCACTGCAAAAAATTAAAACTGTTTATTTAAATAAAAAATTAGGTCACACTAGCAAAAAACACACAGAAGAGCCCTTCAAAGGGCTTTTTCAAAGCCATTTGAAGCCTCCGAGCTCAAGCTTGCCCTGTGCCTGATCTTTGCTGCTGTCAGGATCAGTCATTCTGGACTGGCTCAGATGAATCCACACGTTCAATCTGTCTCAAGATGACAAGGCAGGTGGCGTTTCTGCCATATCCTGCTGTTGCCAAGTTCCACTGTACATCAGTTGACTCAGATGGTATGTGAAGGACTCCAGCTTTTGCACTGCACAGCAGAGCTTTTTCGCAAGTTACACTTTCTGCCAGTTTTTCTAATGCGCGCGACTTGCACATGCAGGCACCGCCCAGGGCGCATGTGACAGCGTAACGCAAGGGCTGGGCGGCAGCTGCTGAGCACCCCGGCCAGCGTGTGCACTCGGGCTCCCCCGCCAAGCACACGCCAGATTGCTGGGTGGAGGTTTCTCCCAGCCATGCTGTCCGAGGTGCTTTTAGGTGGAGAAACCAGGAACTGAATCTGGGGCAATGTGCATGGAAAGCACACGGTCTCAAGCTGATGCGGCTGCTTTGGTAGGTGGGATGCCCCCATTTAGGGGGGCCGCGTGCAGCCTTAGCGGGGTGGAGGTGCGCTGACGGGACGGGACGGGCCAGGCTCGGCTTGTGCGCCACAAGGTGGGGGAGAGCTCTGGGCAGGAATGCCTGGCTGGCCGAGGACTGCCTTTTGCCCCAGCCCCGTGCAGGGCCTCCCCTCAACAGGGAATGCACCGCTGAGCCCAGCCAGGGGCTTTCCCAGCACCCGGAGTCGCCTGACCAGAAGCAGCTTCCTGGAGCTGGGGGCGGGGGCAGGACCAGGCTGATTGCAGGTGGTGGGGCCGAGCAGGCCGGCCCCGAGGGCGGGAGGGGCAGGCCAGCAGGGGCTCCGCTGGCCTTGCGCAGTGCTGCACACAGGAGTGCCACCGGTGCCGAGATGGCACCTTGGCACACACGAAGGCACGATCGGAGCAGCTGCTCAGAGCTCAAGCTGGGTCTGCTAGATCACAGTTCAAGGAAGGTGGCCTGGGGGCACCATTAATGGAGGGCCCCTCTCAGCCACAGCTGCATTGAAAGCTTGTATTTCTCTCTGCTGGTTCCCATAAGCAGCTCTTTCTGCTGTGCATTCATTTAAAAAGGGCAGCTGGAAATGTTCTATGTAGATCATGGGTCCTCAAACCACGGCCTGTGGGCCGGATCCGGCCTGTCACAGAGGTTTTGAACTCGCCGCGTGCATGCGCACGTGCCACAGCGGTGGCTTGCTCGTGCGGAGAGCATTTTGGACTCACCGGCACCTTTCAACTGGCCCCCCGTTGAAAGTTTGAGGACCCCTGATGCAGATGTCTCCACCAAGGTACCTCTGGCTTTCCTGAGACGCAAGTGCCGCAATTCTGTGTGTGATCAAGTGGGAAGCTGATGCTGCCGGGATGCCCGCCAGGAGCCTGCCTCGCCGAGGTGCGGCCTTGCCCAGGGCTGCCTCCCGCTCGACAGGTGATCTGCAGCCCTCCTGGGCAGAGCACAAGCAGACCAACGCAGGCCGTTGCCCAAAGCAGCTTACAAGGCCAGTGAGGACGACAAAAGCGGCACGCACGCAGGGCGGCAAGCGAGGCCTCCCCGCAGGCAGCAGCCAGAGTCAGCCACGCTGTCCACCGGCTGGGAATGCGCGGCAGCTGTTCTTGGTGCCAGCCTCAAGGCCAGGTAGACAAACACTTGGAGGGAGAGGGAGGGGCCTTGGGACAGTCGGAAGGATGAGGCTTCTCTCAAGGCCCAGGTGGTCTCCCAGCAACAGCCAGGAGCTGCGACTGCTGGACGGGAGGGGCTGTGGGCCAAGCTCTCCAGGAGCCAGAGCAGCCTCCCCCCAGCACCACCTCTCCCGGGAGGAAATCTTGCGGCTGGCTCCACCTTGTGCTGCCTTCTGCTCCAGGCTGCTGCCCCTGCCAGGATCACCGCCCCACGTGCACAGACTTCTGCTTCGCATTCCCAGCAGCCTCTAGGCAGAGCGAGATGCCCCGTGCCCGTCCACCCCCACACCTTGTGTCAGAGGAGCAGCTGCCCGTGGGGGCGCCCTGTCCAGGCCTCTCCCACTCGTCACCCAATGAAGTGCACCAAGACGTCCAGCAGCAACTAGCAGGTCGTGGGGCAACACTTCTGTGAACACGCTGGGAGCGTTTCTGGACATGCGAGAACAGCCAAGCAGCAAGACCTCACACCTGCCCTGCAGGCCCCCGACTTCTCGCCAGCAGAGGGGGCAGGGAGAGCCCTGGGACACCAGAAGCAGCCTTTGAAGTTTTTCCTTTAATGCCCACACACTCTCCCCTGGAAGGTTTACAGCCCTTTTGGGGAAAGCCTTTTCCCCACCCCACCCCTTTCTCCCAGGGGCCTCCCTGGCTCCAGCTCTTGGTTCCCGAAGGCTGCCGCCCCCTCCGGATGCCTGGGATGCCAAGCCGCTCCCGCAGCAGCAGCCAGAGCTCCCCCCCTCCGCCGCCTTCCGGAGCCAGCCTCCACCCAGAAACACGCACACCGAGACGGGGCCTCCTATCGTTTATTTACAAAGAGCAGGCAGAAGTATCCCAAGAGACTCTGGCCCCACTCACCACACCCTCTTCCTCAGGCTGTCAGCAGAGGCTTCGGGTCCCCCAAAATCAACAGGTTTTAACAGATGATAAAATTGGTCTTCAAAAAAATGGAAAATTAAATATCAAGGTTTCATTAAAAAACTAAACATACAGGAGATGAAACATTCAACTGGGAGGCAGCACAAGTAGAGGGGAATCACAAGACCTTCTCTGGAGCTCTTGCAAAGTGGCCACGACTGGCCTGGAAGGACATCCGTGTCTAAATCAGCAAAGCAGTGAGAAGCAGCGCTGGCCGCAGCCAGGGATTGTCGCCGTCACATCGGGGCCGAAGCAGAAGAGGCGCGTGGTCTGAGGGGGCCGTCGTTGTGCTTATTCACTCTCTTGTTGTGGACTTGCGGGGCTGGGGCAGGATGGACGGGCAGCTCCAGGAAGTCTGGGCCTAGTAGTCCTGCAGCCAGGGAGGGAACGGAGCATCAGCACAGCCGCCTAGGCGAGCGCTGGCCCGACCCCCGGCCTCCCCACACTCTGCAGGTAGAGATGCTGTGGGAGTGTTAGCCAAGCAGGGCCTTTGCACAGGGAACAGCAATGCCAACTCCAAACTCGAAAAGCATGGCTTGAAAATCAAACCACCCAGCAATATCCCTTCATTGGAAAAAAGCAATCAAGGAAGACTGGCGTGTTTTCCCCGTCTCTGTTTTCTAGCCATTTTAGGACGGGCTTTAATTCACTCTAACCCTCCAATTCCAGAATTCTGCAGGCACAGGAATGAGAGCCTGATTTTGGTGTTGGGGAGATGGAAGGCCCAAGGACAGGAGGGCAATACTTACAGCTCGGGGTTTTTTGTTCAGCTTGAGATCAATCCTGTGAGCAAAGCGAGAAGGGAGGGCGGTCAGCCGGGACTGTTCCGGGCCACCCGGTCGCTGCCCCCAGCAGCAGCTCCAACCAGGGCACATGGCTACTCATCCTTGTTCGAGCAGGGCCATGTGGAATCCCCTGTCCACACCCCAACCCTGCACTGGGAAGTGGATTCCACCCACACAGTCAGAAAGGAAAACAGATTAGAGAGTTAGGCAGCATGTAAAGACGGGAACAAGTCATGCGCTCGGTTAGCGAGTCAAGGAGGCTGCTCTGAGGAGGGAAGGGCAGCCACTTGTTGCATGTCGGCATTTAAGAGGAACTGGCTACTCTTGTGAGGACCAAATCGAGGCCTGGCCTTTGGGGGGGACGTGTGGGGCCAAATCCAGGTGGGGCTTTAGAAAGCAAAGCAAGAAAAATCACTTTTTAGAAAACTAACAGACATTTATCTGCTTTTTCAGATAATGTAAAGAAGCAGAGGAGGAAGGCAATTGTTTTTATCTTTTGGGGGGTTGTTCGCTTTTGCCAAGGGTATTAAATAAAATATTACCTCCCTTGTACTTTTGTCTGCATATTAAAAAACTTGCCAGCCTAACCTAGTATATATATATATACCTACAAGTAAACAGATAAACTATGGGTTAGAATAGTTTTGACAAGGACCGGGGTGGGGGTGGGGGGCTGGAAAGGGAGAAGGGAAGCAGGATGGGGAGGAAAAAGGTCTACACACTAACATCACAGCACAAAAACTAAGTCAAGTCAAACTTACTCAAAGTCATAATCAAACATGCCAGACGGGCTGAGGGGCAGCATTTGAAAGGAAGAAAGCAACAGAAATTAATATACTAATGGATTAAATCAATTAGTTGATTAGCCACCCTAGCAAGATGATTTCGTTTTTGTCTCAGAGGGTGTCAAGGACACACATTTCTGATGTCGTAACAGAGAAACACAACCCCCCTCCCCACGTGATGCCCTGGAGCACACCTGTGAGGAGCCAATGGCGAGGAGGGGCAGCGGAGGGCAGCGGGGGGCCCCAAGGCCACCAAAGGCACC